AGATAAACACCACACGTAGCATTTCATTGCCTTACAGTGGCCTTCTGTTTGGACTGCTATAATACCTATAATACCTAATTTCTCTCAAGCTTTGCTGAGACCCATGCTATTATTATCATCATCACCACCACCACCACCACCATCATCATCATCATTTTTTGTTATTTTCTAATACTTCCTGCAGGAAATCTCTATGTAGAAGTCTGTAAAGGCATTCAGTATGAATAATGAGCCAATAACCCTTGCTTGTATTTCTTTCAAGTTTTAATTGTTCTTCACAACATTCATAAGATATTTTTTTCTATTTGGATGATAGAGGGAGCTTCTTCCCACTTATCTTACTACATTTCATGCTTAGAAGTAGCAAATACAATTGTTCTGGAGTCAGAATTCTTCTATATGTTGATTGAGAATAAAGAAGCTTAATTTCTTGGTCAGCTCTTCCTATCTAGTTGGGTTGCAGGTGATATTTTGTAAGTTTGAAAATTGCTTGTGGTTTAATGGACTTACATGCCATTGAGACTGATTTTGTTTTTGTTTTTCAATCTTAGTGATTAATGATTAAATATACACGTTCTTTTTTTAAAGCCTTACTTGTCATTTTATTTAAATATCTATGTACTATATCACCCGTGTATTTCTGCAATAAAACAGTCTAAATGGCTACGTAATAAGCGTTTTTAAGATGCCGCTGAGAAGAGTACTATGTTGGTACCAGATAGACTTTTGTGAAAAAAGTATTCCTGAGTTGGGACGCCACCACAGAAAGCTCTCTCTTTTATGGAAAAATTAACTTCTCTTTCAGAAAGAACAGAGAGAAAAGATTTCTATAATGGTCTGAATGCTTAGTCAGGTGGATGTAGAATGAGACACATTTCCATGGGCTCCTTAGCTTTTAACATCCACAGTGGTCCAAACTCTGAACATTACACTGTTGGCTTCTTGTTTATTCTTTGTTTTTTGTCATTTTTGTGTCCTTTTGTTTCCTTGTGGGGGTTAATGTGGTTATTGCTTTAAATACTGTGACTGTTTTGATTGGTTTTAACCTCACTGTATGTTTTATTTTTGCTCGTATAAAAGCCGCCAAGTGATGTTTAATTGCTGCAGGGTAGAAATATTACAAACAAATAAATATGTGATGCATTTTTTTCTATGGAAATGTGTTTAACCTGTAGATTCATGGCATTTTATTTTATATATTTTGTATAAAACTTTCTGCAGCTCACCAACTTGCAAAGAATCGCAATGTATCCCAAGTTGAAAATATATATTACAAGTATTTGTTCAGAAATTGTTATACCATATTTTCTGTTTTTCCTCTAGGTATGCATTCTCAAATTTAAAATGTTGCAGGCCTTTTTATGTATTTTTACCCTATGAGTGAATTTTCATTATTTTTAGTAATAGATACATAGTTTGGCTTCTACTTTTCTGAGATTTTGATGATTGTTGTTCTCATATATATATTCCCTTGACAGAGCTGTGCTTTGATCAAAACATTGATTCTGTCTTCCTTTGTTTGTTCCAAAATATATTGAATGAGATCTGTAAGTTTGACTGCCTGCTTGCCTTTTCTTCCTGACCAATTTTGCAGGGTAAAGGAAAAAAATCTGAAAACTTTTTTTTTAACTTTATTGATTTTCAATAAAATATAAGGAAACTGAAAAAACAAAGATAGAGAAAGAAAAAAAAACAAAGTTAAAAATGCAGAAAAGGAAAATGAAAAGAAAAGAGAGAAAGAATAGGTGACTTCCAACTTTCTCTGTTGCAGATATAAATAAATATACATACATCTTTTACTCTAAAAATATAACTAATACAAAATACTTCTCTAATCCTAAAATCTAATAATTGTCAAATCCCCAAGTCAACATGGCATTTTACAATCCCAAGCAAAAAATAAAAATAAGAGTGATTTCCAAACAGAAGCAAAGCTAAACCCTCCCCCTTTTTTAATCTCAGTACTCTATGTCACCATCTCCGCCACTGCCATTAATGTCCAATCATAAATACCTGTGTGTTTTGTCATCTATGTGCATATAAAAATCTCAAAAGTATTGTCATATACCATCGTCCCTTCCCAAAGATAATAGAAAGCACTTTCATATCACTCATATTTCCCACCACACTAACATTCCTAGTAACTTACCCATTCAGTCCTAATCAACAAGAAATCCCTCTAATAACTATCAGGAGTCACAACCTATATTCATTTTTGCTACTGTTAAGCAACAGTAATATTAATAACATTGTCATACAATTCTGGTCCCCAAAAAATTGCCATTAATGTATCAGAAACCACAGTCTTATGTTTTAACCATAATCAAACAGATGTACTTTATACATTTCCTGTTTACTTTTAAGAGGTTCATTCTTTAATCTTCACAGTTAGTACCCCACATATTGAATCTTTATTATTTTCTCCTTGTTTTCTTCTTTCAGGAGCAACTTCAATACATTCTCTTTATCTTTCAGTAATTTAAGACCTTCTTTTTGTAGATCCAAAATAGTGTCATCATTAGACTGATCCCAGTTCTGTTTACTTTTAAAGAGTTCATTCTTTAAACCTAGCAAATGGTGCCCCACAAGTTGAATCTTTATTATTTTCTCCTTGACTTCTTCTTTCAGGAATCACTTCAATAAGTTCTCTTCGTCTCTCAGTGATTTAAAACATTATTTTTGTGAATCCAAAACAATATCATTGTTAGGCTGATCCAAAGTAACTAAGTCCAAAATAAGATTCTTTTTCTTTAAAGTCCAGTAAAATATCCATTTCTCTTTCTTATTCCATATGTTTATTATCCATATTCTCCAAGATATCCAACTTGTGTTCAACTTGCCTCACATCAGTAGCAGCCTCATTTAATTTAGCATTGAGTTTCTTGTTCAAATTATCAAATTTATCCTCCAGGGACTGAATTATTTTTTCTGCAAAGTTTTGGAACATAATCTTGAAGCACTCATCCCTGCAGTTTGCTCTCTTAGTAGCCATAGTCAATAGCACTCTCTAGTGTCAGAAATACAAGTTATATTCTATCCAGAGTGAAAAGTGAAAGGATGAAAGTCCCTTTATCTTAAGATTCCTCTCCAATTAGCATCAATTAAGAAGACAAAGCAGAGTTTACACAGTTCCCATATTCACATTCCAATATCACAAACCCAAGTGCAGATTCACCAGAAAAATAAAAATCCTTTTCTCTTGTTTCTTAAGAATTAATTTAAAAAAAATCCAAGCCTTTGCCTTTTTTGCTGAATATGCAAAACCATTTATCCTAATCAAAAAAAGAAAGTGAAATCGTTCCATGAAGCACCAATAGTAGCCAAAAGGAAAAAATACACAGTAACTAAAGAAAGCCTATGGAAGTAAAAAAGCAAAAAAAAAAAAAAATTAGAAATGAGCGGGCAAGGGCCTGGGTTTTTTTGTCTTCTTTGCAGTTTGGAACTTGATGGTAACCCCGCCTCCCAGCTGATCATGCACCAGTAGATCCCGAAAGTCTGTTTCAAGATCTTCTGGCTGTGAAAAGTTGTCCAGATGTCATAAGGGACAATTTCTAGGTTTCTCCTTGGGTCCGTAGAATTCTTCAGGCTCCAGGAAGCCTGCCTGAGCCTAAAAAGTCTGTGAAGATGACTCTCCGCTTGAAAAGGAGAGCCTAACACGTGGCCATTTCTCACCGGAAGCCAAATCATATGAAAACTAAGGAGGAGTGGAAGGTATCAAATTACACTTGAGGAAAATGCATCTTTTCTTGGGAGGGAGAAAACTCTCCCTGCGTATCAATCCTTCTTAGAAATTGCAAAGGGGAACAATAGTGCTTTCTCCTGCTGTGGGGAAGATGTGGTATCAGCAGCCATAACTAATGTACCTGCACTCACTTTTCTTCTACCTGAATGATTACCAACCAACATTGTTCCAATTAAATTTAAAAATGCAAAAGATTGTTGTAGTTCAGAGGTCCCATAGAAAGGGGTAAAGATTAAGTTTTGACAAAGTATTCAAGCAGTCTTGCTTTGCTCAGTGTTTTTATTTAACTAGAGAGAGAGAATGAGAATCATGCCTTATATTCATTTAGAGCACTCAACATGGTTATCATGAAATAAAATGTGCACACAAAAATTAAAAAGCAAAGTATTTCCAGCCAGCAACTCCCATAACCCCACCTAGCATGGTGAGAGCAGTTCTCACCATGGCATACACAGTGCAGTCTAAAATGACTGGGCAGCAACAGATTAGTAAATGGCAGATTGAGAGCAGAAGCAAGCACAGATGATATCTAAGAACTAAGCCAGGGGTTAGTTAGCCAACAGCCTTTTCACACATGGAATGCCATTACACAATTGAGAGAGGCAATCAATCTAAAAATGTCCAAAGCTGAATTTTGCAAGATTTCAGAGTTTCAAAAGATTTCAATTTTTAAATTTGGGATCCCACCAATGTCATCTGAGGATGTCGGAGGTGACTTGATGCCCCTGGATACTACAGTGCTGTTCTCTGAACTATGCTATGTTAAAATCCGTAAGAGTAAACCAGAGGCAATATTGTAGAACTCAAGAAATGGAAAGAGATAAGAGAGACGAGTATTTTGAGATGTGTAGGTTTCAAAAGATGCCACACATTCCCTTTGAAAACACAAGGAGAATAAAAACAACCTGCAAGGAGTATCAGAGGAGTGCTCTGTCAAATGCATGGAACTCAGCAAAGGATTATTCCTATTATGCCCATGCTTCCTCTCTGAATGGTTTTGAAGCTACAAAAGTTCACTGAAGGCAGAAAATATGTGTAGAGGTCAGTCCATTGCACAAAATTGGTAGCAATTCAACTCTTGACTGTATTAACAGCAAACGATAAGGGGACTGCAGAGGCTGTCTGAATGCATGATATAATTGATCAGAGAGCAAAACTCAGTGACTTAGACTGTTGTTCATACAGTCTTTTATTCCGTTGGCTTTCATTGTACATTTAATCTTGTGTCATTTTACTCATGTTTCTTTCTTGTTTCCAGCTCGTAAACAAGAGATCATCAAGGTTACTGAGCAGCTGATAGAAGCTATCAATAATGGGGATTTTGAAGCCTACACGTAAGTTGCCTTCCACTCCCTAGCCACCTTCCACTCACTTGGATATCAGTACTAATGTTAGGCAATATTCAGCAACTGGTTATTATAACCAGAATGTGGTTGCAGCCCTCTTGATCATATTGAGAAGAAGGAAGAATTCCTCAAATTTTGAGGTGGGGGGCCTTTTAGTGGTCAAAGGGTATTGATGGGTATGATAGGTCAGTTTATGATTCAGGTTTGTATCACAGTTGTGGGCAGAGATTGGATTTTCTGGTTGTGGGGACAGAAGTTAAATTCTTGCTTTCTTCTAACTGTGTTAAGTTTCATATGTTTCCTGCCCCAGAATGGTAGGAAACCACATAACCAGAATTGGGCTAGATGGTGTTATATAGTTCAGCATAAAGACTTTCATATGTTTATTTCTTTAATATATTTCCAAAAATTAGACATTGTCACATGAACTCTGTAGGGTTTATCTCAGCTTCTTTACATCATCAAGAATTAGTCCTGGGGGAAAAGAGAGGTGGGTAAAAGGTTCAGCAGAAAACATTTTCATCTAGCAGCAGCCTACGTGTTTCATGTTTCAGAAATACATGCATCAGTGGGAGATGGAGCAGCCACCTGAAGGCATTTCCAGATGAGAATACCTTTGGGTATCAGCGACCCTAGAGCTGGCTTCACCTGTAGTGTGCCTGTTTTTGTGTGTGTGTGAAAGAAAGGGATGGGAAGAGCACCAGGACTAGTGCCTTAAAGCTGTGGTTTTCCAACAAGGAGATTATAAGGGATGTAGGATTTCAGGAAGGAACTGAACCCTCATCAGATGTCCTGCAGACTGGATATGAAATGTAGGCTCACTGGATTCAGCTTATGCACAATGGTTTCTTACTCTTGCAGCATAATGAGTACAGAGAGATTTTTTTTCCTTGTTCTATAGGAAAATCTGTGATCCTGGACTTACCTCATTTGAGCCTGAAGCTTTGGGAAATCTTGTAGAGGGGATGGACTTCCACCGGTTTTACTTTGAAAATGGTATGTTGTTACTTGATATTTATGTCTTTCAAGCCAAACATTTTAGATTACTGTCACAAAGTACATATGTAATTAACCGCAACTCACAGGAACATAAGCAGTTCCCAGCTGGATCAGACCTGGTCCATCTAGTCCAGCAGTCTATTCTCACAGTGGCCAACCAACTGCAGAAAGAAGCCCAGTAGTCTCCCAGCAGATGGCCTTCAGAGGCAGTCACACTGCCATCAAGGCTAATAGCCATTGATCCCCCTGAGTTCCATGAATTGATTCAACCCTTTTTTAAAGTGAGCAAATTCAAATAATTTAAGGCATTACTTATATTTGGTAGGCAACATTCCTTTGATTGAGAGCCGCAATTAGCTCCCCCAACCAGCTGGAGGGTTGCAGGTAGCATCACTTGAAGGGTGACTACATCACCAGAAGGAATATATTTTCCTTTTGATGGGTTCAGGGCAGAATTAGGCCCTCAGAGATCTTTCTGCTCTCAAAAAGTTTTTATGGTGTGTGGAAATTGCTGGTTGAGGAAATTGATTTTGCTTAAAACCAGAAAGGACTGCATTTCTGATTACTTCAGAGAATAGTCTACTCTGTGGAAATAAAATTGAAAATGGGTATGATAGGACCAAGAACAGAATGAAATTTGACCAAACCTAATGCAGAGTTCTTCACATAGGGAAACAAAGTCAAATGTAAAGGTAAAAGACTGGAGGATGCTTGGTGTGCATAAAAATTATTTAGCTTTGGGAGATGGTGACCAGCATGGGCTACTCAATAAGCTTCATAAAAACACATATCTGTACACAGAAGATTGAATTGTAATGCGAATTAACAAGCCATTATAATAAATTAATATGTTCAGATAGTATTAGCAAAGATTACATTTTTGTTTGCTTTTTAAAAAAATTAAAATATCACTGTCCCTGGTAAATGAAAAGTGAAATGTTATATATCAGCATCGTGAAGGCCTTTGTAAATCAAATCATTTAATGCTAACATATATCTGTACATTTTATATCTGTACAGATCTATATTTTCAGTATAGGCCTATTTTAGCAGACAATCATTTCAGGAGAAATTCCTAGCCACATTTTTTCAAAAGCTCTCATTTTCCTCCTTAGCACCAAGTCTAAGCAGTTAAGTTTTAAAATGGTAGAACTGCATCAGTACCTTGTTAGGGCTTTTTATTCTTTTCATTCTGAAGGATATGACTCCTCTTGAAGATTCTGGTACAAGCAACACAGGTTTCATGTTTGCTAAGAGGAGCACAAATTCTTTTATGTGTAAAACAAAGAAGTGAGTGGAGGTTACACAGTGTCCCTTAAATAAGTTTGTATAAGCCATAAATTATAATTTAACACTTTAAAATATTAGAATAATGCTTCCATTCAGTTGTGAAAAAAACGTCCATGTTTCACGTTTGGAGACAACTCATTGTACATAGAATGGAAAACCTATGGTTTCATCAGTGAAAAGCAAACAGGAAACCGTTGTCTCAGTTTTATTGTTCCCCTTGCTCCTTCCAACTGCTACATCTCCAGGGTTTAAGGGAAAAAACACCAGGAATAATACCAGTTTCAGAATGGTGGTCACCAGATGTTTGAAACTGCAGAGCCCTAAAGTTGAAACCTAGTAGGTACCAGGTTACCTGTACGTAAGTGTCCTAGAAAATAACTATTGTATTTTATTTTCCTATAAGTTTTAAGTCTACATCAATCTCTCTAAAGCAGGAAAACAAAATCATAAATAAATAAGATGGCAGGAACTGCAGACTCATTCAGCAGAGGAATTTATGATTTGATGCATATTTCTCATGGTCAGTAATGGCATACTTCGCAGTAGGAATAGTCCCTTTCAGGTCATGTGTGGAATGTTTATACAGACTGCAGCAGATGGAAAATAGTTTAAATATTTTAAAAATGTCACAGGTCCAATTTTGATCCTCACCTAATTTGATCAAGGATTAATGTTTGTAACTCCAGCTCCACTATGTAATTAAGACCCCCTGTCCCAATAAATATACAATGTTGTGTGATATATTGACTGGTGCTTATACTCTGTGAACACGATCCATAGAATGTTAGGTGAGTTTATCAGTGACTTCTCAGAATTAACCACTTTTATTTATTTGATGCTAAGCATGCCCAGATGATCCGGAGTGCAACTGTTTTGTGCATTAAGGGTTTTCTGTGATATGTCTTTCCCTCCATAGTTTTGTCGAAGAGCAACAAGCCAGTCCACACCATTATCCTGAATCCTCATGTCCACCTGGTAGGGGATGACGCTGCCTGCATTGCATATATCCGACTAACTCAGTATATGGATGGAAGCGGAATGCCAAAAACGATGCAGTCAGAAGAGACCCGGGTTTGGCACCGCCGTGATGGGAAATGGCAGAATGTTCATTTTCACCGTTCAGGATCACCAACAGTACCTATCAAGTGAGTAATGGATTTGTGTCCCCTCATTGCAACTTTTCTGCCTATCTAGCTTTAGACCTTTGTTGCATCATTTCATCCATACTATCTTTTGTAGGTGCTGTATTTTTCTCATTCCACATTTCTTTTTGCCCATTACAATCAAGCCCAGGCTAATAATCTCTGGGAATTTGAAGCAATTTGTTTTACACCACCCAGCATCTGTGTCAATTGGTGCAGTATAAATATGCTGCCAAATGAATAAAGCCCCATATTTATGTCACCAATTATTTGCATATTATTTTTCAGCAGGGCTGTGCCCGGAGCAGCTTACAACATTAAAAAATTGAAATAAATAGATTGTAATAAAACCAGGTATATATTCATAGCATGAATAAATAGTCAATACAATTTTGCATAAAATAAATCACACTGAGTCAGTGGGAATTAACGGAATTAGGGGCATATTGGCTGTAGCAGAAAAGATTGCAATGCTAATTTCCACTTTGTATCTTTCTTATTATTTATCAAATCAGCTTTGGAAAAGATGACAGATTGATTCTTAGAATTTGCTATGATGAATAGTCACAGATTCCAGAACAGAACTGAGTGAACTGGTTTGTTACAGATGAATGCTCTGATATTAATTTGGCTGTGGAAAATAACCACAAATTCTTCCTTATTGTGTCAACAAGTGAATAAAAATCTGTGGTATCCATCTGTTCCATAGCTCCTGACTATTTAAATAAATGATTTAGCATACCATAGCATGCCATAATCCTTCAAACCAAACCTCCACTTGAATATTATCAGAAAGTACCAGAAATAGGAGCTTTGCGAGAATCAGAATCCCAAGCAGATGAGGCTCAAAGTTATGCAATGATTTCATCATGTTACATCTGAACTTAGGATGTCCTGATCAGAGTACAAACAGAGGGTTCTGCCTTCTGTTGGATGACCTTCATGTTCATTCCTAGCTTGCTAAATAATGTTCTGGAAGGACCTAGCCTCTTTTCACATGTTTCTAGTCTCCTCCATTATAGTCAGGGTGGGATTATAATGCTATAATATTGATATAAAAATCACCACACCAAAATCAGTAGAATTGAATTGTTTGTCTGAATATGGTATAGATTATTACTGAACTCTGTCATAGCAGCAAGATGCAAAAAAAAAATCGTCTTGTACAAACTTAAATCGGTTTTCCCTTAATTTAAAAAATAATGAATGTGAGTGAGTGAAGAAAATAGTTACAGAATTTGATTTGTTTGGATCTTTTTAATGAACAGTAAAATAATTCAGTTTATTTGGAAATTACTCCAAGATTTAGCACAAAATAATTAATGTTCCTTTCATTCTCTCTTTCCTTCTTTTTCTCTCTCTCTCTTTGTCTTTTAGCTAAATGTCAGCGCTGCCCAAGTTGTGTTCTCCGCACTCCACACTTGGTTGGCTCCCCCTGGGCCATCCCTTTGCCCTCTTCATGCATGTTCTCTGAGTGCATGAAGCTGTGAAGTTTCTTCAAGTGATGTTTAGAATCGCATCATTTTGTTGTATATTCCATTGGTAGCTTTTTTTTACACTTCATTGAAGGAGATGTTCCATGGCAATTGGAAATAGAGGTACAGGAGAAAGTGTAAAGAGAAAAATTGAAATGCGAGAATATATTCAGGCTATACATCTCAAGAGATCTGCATGTGCACCCTATAAAAACAAAGGTTAAAAAGAATTAACTTTGTTTTAATTTTTATTATTTTCTGAGTCATTTGTTTTTAAAGGTTGTTGCTTAATCCTTTTGTCATAGAAGGATTAATGAAATTCCTACTAACAGCATATTTAATGTAAGATATATGGTAGACATAGTGACTTAGACCAAAGCATTTCTATAGGTTTGAGGTCTTGGAAAGTTGCCTTTGCTGTGATTCACTATGTATAAACTGGAAAAAGGCAAAATTTGGAAATTTGACTTCAACAAGAATGATCTGTCACTGTGGTCATTTGGTCAGCAAATGTAACAACAAATTGATTTCTTTCTTTTCTAGTTGCTTATTTAGTGTCATTTTCAGGAAAAAAAAAAAAAAAGAATTAGCATTTTTAGCTTTCGGAAACCAAGCAGTGAACAGATTCAATATAGCTTCTGCTGATACAGTTTATGGGTAAAATAAAACTTTTTTTTAATCGTTTTTTGGATGTACAGTACATTTATTAAAGCGAGATGTTGAGGATTTTTTAACTGATATTCTAATAAGATGTGTAGCAATCTAGAACAATTAGGTCTTAAAAGCTTAGTATCAAGAGATGTCTAAATTTTCTTTGTATCAATTTATTACCAGGAAACACCTGTTTTCTAATAATGTTGTCAAATTTAACAGTAATAATTTTATCATTTTTTCATGGCCTATTGACAGCCTTGAAAGTATGAAATAAAACAATAATTGTAGCTTTATTAATTTCTCCCTTTTCCCAGATGTCAAATGTCCCTCAAATGTCTATTGCTGCATATATACTGGCAAAACAAGCAGCCAAAAAGCTTCTCTGTCAGTTTAAAACACATTACTTGGATAATGTTTGTTTGCTTTTCTTGTATAAATATGAAATTATATTTCCAAAAGCATTGCTCCTTCTATTTCAATTTTTTAAAATTGTATTGGTACTTTTCTTTGTTGTTAAAGTCTTTTTCTTTCCTTAAGTAGGGCAATCGATTTTCTGTAACTCTGTATAGCGCATGACATTTTGATTAATGTTCTTTTTGGTAAGTAAAAATTTACAACTTGTAACAGCTTGAAAATTTTTAAAGCAGAGGAAAAAAAACTCCCAATTTGTATAACTTTCATCTCTCTATACTGATTATTAATCAAAAGTGGATCTTATTCTTTATACCTTGATGTTGTAAACATTATATTAGAGAAATTTAAGCTTCTCTGGTGATAGTTATTACATACTTTCAACCCACAGAAGAATTTAGAACAATCATCAATAAATGTCTCAAGCCATATTAATCTGCTAGTGGGATCTGTGAAAAGATAATGGCCTCATGCATAATTTTTTACAAATAAATTTCTTCTTTTGTGAAGCAGCTTTAGGTGGCATTAGTGTATTTTTATTTTATGAAATATGGCATAGAATTTTTATACTCTTTTACCATAGCATGCTGTGATGCCATATTATTCTAGATCGTCTGTCTTCCACACTGAGATGTGAGAAATACAGTGTGAGTTAGTTCTCTGTACTCCACCTAAATTATGCATCTAATTCTTTGCCATTTTAATACACTGCAGTTTACTATGAGACCCAGTGTGTAGGTATTTGTGTCTGTATACATATATATGTCTCTCTATGTACACATATATATGTGTATATACATATATATGTACATATATATATGTGTCTGTGTGTGTGTATCTATATATTGATATATAGATATATATTGATATATAGATATAAATAAAGATATATATCTCCTGCCACAATGGTAAAGAACTGACATATATATTTAAGAATTAATAAATTTGTGATTTATGCTGACATTCGATGTTTCATTGTTTTCCTTTGAGATTGCAGGCCTCATCATTCCTTACCTTCCATTTACTACCAAAATGACCATTATCATAAAGGGCTGCATATATTAGGTCTGTGCAAGGTGCTTGGAATTCAAAATATTTTGACATTAAAATAGTTGTTTCAAATTTAAAACAGGATATTCCCTCTTCCTAGAAATGTTCCTACACTGTTCCATCCATTCCAGAAATGTTTTGAGCACTGCTGCTGTATGTTACAAAAATATCTGTGGTGGTACTCCAGTTTGTGGATGAAGAATCCATGTCATAGATGATTTTTAAAAAACTGTGTTCATTTCAGATAGCTGGTATCAGTGGTGCTTGATATTTGGTTAATTATATTGTACTGTATTCTATATCTAGTGATCTTCCATCGTCTGGTGCTATTCCAAGAGTTGGTTTCAGAACACCCTACGTCCATTCAGTAGGGGTTTTTTTGCTCTACACTAATCATTCTGCACACTTTACCATATGAGTGACCTGTATTGGGGTTAATTTTGCATGATATATGATAATAATTTATGGCATTTTTCAGTGCTGCAAAAAATAATTAAAATATTAATTATGTTTGGTACTTTAAGTTTAGTATAGTAATAGTGGGTGTATGGGGGGGAGCCATGTGGTTTGCTTTGAGAAGTTAGATAAAGGCCTCTGCTTAATTTACTGTATTTTTCAGTTTTCAGTGTGGTGTAGTAGTTAAAGGCTCAAGTTCAAGTTCATCCTTAGCCATGAAGACTTACTAGATGATCTAACAAGTAAAATAAATAAACCCGACTGTGTTTTTTTAAAAACTGCTTTTAGATCCTTTCCGAGAAAACAATGGTGTTTTTCCAGAGTATGCCCTGTGGATCCTACATAAACTGGTTGATTTGATTTGATTTGATTTGATTTATACTCATCACAATAAAAAAGACTCCTGGTAGTTTACTATTCATCCATCAAAATACAATAAAATGTCCATGATATAATCTTAGACTGAACTTTGCTGGATGCAGTACATGTGTTCTGATCTTTGGATTTTTTCTCCAAGTGGAAATGATAAGATTCCTACATGCTGGCACACACCATCTATAAGATCATTTACTACAGTGCCCATTTTAATTAACAGCACTGTCAGAATTATTTATTTCCACATTCAACCTCCATAAATTGATAAATCCATCTGTCTTTCATTCAGTTTTCCCTCTTGCTGGCAGCCATCTGGCTCCTCTCTTTGGCTCTTGTTGTAGCTTGTCAAATGAATAATACCTTGTTCTCTTTTCAGAATATATGGAGAATTTCTGCAAACACTTCATATCAAAAGTGCTTGTAATAGGTGGCATTACAAGTGCTTGTAATAGGTGGCATTCAGCTTATAGCTGACACTAGTATGGGAAAAACGACTTACCAGAAGGATCCGATTTGAGGACATAAAGAGAATCAGTGCAGGATTGCTTTTGCTTAAATTGATTGTCAGTGTCATATTTTCCATTACAAATTTATATTCGGTTTTCCTTTTTCCAGATAAACATATTCTAAGCATGTTTATATCAGTTTATTATGTAATATTTGATTTGTTCAGCAACAGGAAGACCTAACATCAAAAGAGAATGATAATTCCTGGTTATCTCCAGAAGTTGAATCATGTAATATTGAAGAAAGTTTTTTTTTTCCATGTCTCCATTCCACATCTCTTCAGGGGAAAGATGTAGAATAAAGGAATATACATGATCCTATGCCAAACCAGAGGCTGATGAAGACATTTCCAGTGTGATTCACCGATGCTCTTATTTCAGTATCGCTTGGTTGATATGATTTAA